CATCTCAAAACAGCAACTCTAGCGAAGCATGCCGACAGTCGTGTTTTTCAGGCGTGTTTCCGCCTGCCCCCGCATATCTCCCCTGTTCCTCCTTCCTCCCGCCTCCTTGTACATCCTCCTTGTGGTGGGAGCGGGAGAAGGACGAGGCGGAGGAGGAGGGAGAGAAAGCGCTCCTCGTGGTTTGAGTCGTTCGGGCTTCTCGTCCTGGTGTGAGTCGTTCGGGCCCTTCTTCCTGGTGTGAGTCGTTCGGGCTCTTCGTGGTGTGAGTCGTTCGGGCTCTTCGTCCTGGTGTGAGTCGTTCGGGCTTCTCGTGGTGTGAGTTGTTCGGGCCCCTCGTCCTGGTGTGAGTCGTTCGGGCCCCTCCTCCTGCCCGTCCAGAAACGACGCCCAGGCGAGTAGAGGGTCGTCCTGATGGGCTTTTCGGCGTCTTGGGTGCCTCGGGGGGGCCTCTTTGGGCCGTTTGGGATCCTCTTGGGGGCCTCCTGGGGGCCTCTTGGGGCCATCTTGGGGCCTCTTGGTGCCTCCTGGGCGCTTCTTGGGGCCATCTTGGAGGAAATCGATCAAAGAAGAGGGGAGCTTTAATTAGCGCTGCCCCCTCAGAAGGGCAAAATGGGGCCAAAACCTTCGTAAAATCAATGATTTTGGCTTGAAAGAAGAGGGGAGCTTTAATTAGCGCTGCCCCCTCAGAAGGCCAAAATGGGGCCAAAACCGTAGTAAAATCAATGATTTTGGCTTCAAAGAAGAGGGGAGCACTTTTCTGCCTCCCCCCGTCGGGGCCAGAATCCTCGTGAGGGGTGTCGTTTTTTAGCCCTCCCAGGAGTCGAAAAAGACCCCTCCAACGACCCGCGGGGCGCCCTCTCCAGGCCGAGGGGGAGGGGGTAGGGGGAGGGGTAAACCCCTCCCCGAAGGGGAAGAAGGGGGTTGAGAACAGAGCGGGCTCTCTAAACCACTCACGCCCAAAGGGCTGGTGGGATTCACTTTGCGATTGTAAGTCGTGGTATGCTGTGATGCACGACGCATCGGTATTTCATGCCATGGGATGGTTTCCATTTTAACGATGTGCTGTGCCATGTCATGCCTATACTTCCAGTGGCATCAAATACGATACTGTGCTACGCCATGGGATGCGATACCATCCTCTGCTCCGCTATAATATGCTGTGCTCAGGTGTGCTTTACAATGCAATCACACCCACTACGAAGGTGCAGTGACGTGTGGCCTGCCGCGCCATCATCTGCTGTACAATGGTATGGTACGATGTGCCTATGGTTGTGAAACGCCCTGTTATGCTTTACCATGGAGTGTGGCTGGTACTGGGGCGAGGGCGCCACCCCGGGATGGGAATGTGACTACCGCTGTGGCGAGAGCGCCACAGTTGAGCCGCGAACGCCGTCGGTGCCCAGGCGGCACGCGAGCCCGAGCTGGGAGTGCAGCCGGCGCTTCGGTGAGGGCACCAGTCAGAGCCTGGCGCTCAGCCAGGTCGTGATGTGGCTAGTGCTCCTCCTCCTCCTCCTCCTCCTCCTCCTCTTTCTTCTCCTCCTCCTCCTCCTCCTCCTCCTCCTCCTCCTCCTCCTCCTCCTCCTCCCTCCTCTCCTCTCCTCCTCCCTCCTCCTCCTCCTCCTCCTCCTCCTCCTCCTCCTCCTCCTCCTCCTCCTCCTCCCCCTGGCTGGTGCTGGGGCGAAAGCACTGCTCCGAGCCAGAAGCCTGGCCAGCGAAGGCCAGCAGGCGGCCGATGCGCCCGGCCTGGCGCCGCGCTCGGTGGAGCAGCGCTGCGGGGAGCCTCGGCATTTGGTCGGCGCCGCGGCGGGTTGCGCAGCTGGCGCTGGCGCTGTGGAGGAGTGAGCGCCGTTGGACGTTGGCAGGGGAACGAACAATGACATCAACATAAAAACTCGGAGGTCCACGCGGATTTCTCGGATCCACGCTGGACCCCCCTAGCGGCGCCTCCAGCGCCGCCTCTGGCGCGCTCCGCGCGCCAGGGAGGGGGGTCAGCGCAGATCCGAGAAATCCGCGCAGAGCGCCAAACATTTATGTTTATGGCGTTTTTCTTCTTCTATGATGCGTGAGCGCCGTTGGACGTCGGGGGCGTGGCGGGGGCTGGCCGAACGAGACGGTCTCGAGCTTGGAAAGCAGGCTGAGCACTGGCGCAGGGCTCTCTCTGCGGTCGGAGCGGCCCGCCCCGCGTCGGTCCGCTCTCCGCGGTCGCCCTCCCTCTCCCCGCCTCTCTTTTGTGGTTACTTTGCCAGAGCATTGTTTTCTTATTCACTGTTTTGCCGATCGGCGCGGGCCCTCGCAAACCCCCCTCCCCCCCCCACGGAGGGGGAACAACGTGTAGTGCCCGCCCCTGGTCTATCCTCCCCCCCTTGCCTCCGCCGGAGCGCTCTCCGATGGGCCCCTCCGGCCCAAGCACTGCGCACGCAGGGGAGCCCCGGCGGCTGCCCTCACGAACGGCCGTCTGGCGGCCGAAGCCCGGCGACCCTGGTGCGTTCGCACGAGCGCCCAAGCGGTTTGTCGCAGCGCAGGCGCCCGCTCCGCGCGGGGTGGCCTCAACGGGCTGCGCACTGGCCTGCGTTTTCTTTTTCGGCGTTTCGACATCGGGCGGAAGGGGGGGGGAAAGGCGGCTGTCTGCAGCAGTGCGTCCCCCACGGGTGACGCCGCCTGCTTGAAACAGGCGCCACACATGATCAAGACCTACCCCTGGGTTATGCATGCATTCATGCATGCATGCATGCCTACATGCATACGTACATACATGCATACGTACATACGTACATACATACATAACATGCGTACATACCTACATACACACATACATACATGCATGCATCCATACATACGTATATACATGCATGCATGTATGTATGCATGCATGCGTGCATGCATGCATTCATGCATGCATTCATACACACATACATACATACATGCGTACACACATACATACACACATACATACATACATGCATACCCACATACAGACATACATACACACATACAGACATACATACACATACACACAGGCATACGCACATACATACATACATACATACATACATACATGCATGCATACATGCATGCATGCATGCATACATACATCAATTCACACATACATACATACACATGTTCCCCCTCTCCTCCTCTTCCTCCGCCTCCTCCTCCTCTTGCTCCTGAAGGCATGGGCGATCGGAACCCCTGGGTACTCGTGATGCTCCCCCCTGGGTTATGCATGCATTTATGTATGCATACATGCATGTATACGCACATACATGTATATGTACATACGCACATACATTCATAACGTACGTGCATACATGCACGCATCCATACACACATACATACATACATGCATACATACATACATTCATGCATACATACATACATGCATGTATACATGCATGCACACATGCATGCACATACATACATACACACATACATGCATACATACATACATATACACACATACATACAGACATACAGACAGACATACAGACATACACACACATACATGCATACATACATACATGCATGCATGCATACATGCATGCATGTATACATACATACATCTGTACATACACACATACACACACGCATACACACATACATACATACATACATACATACATACATACATAAATACATACACACATACACACATACATACATACATACATGCATGCATACATACATACATACATGCACGTATGTGCATGCATGCACACATGCATGCACATCACATACATACATTCATACATATACATACACACATACATACATACAGACATACAGACAGACAGACAGGCCGACACACACACACACATACATGCATACATACATGCATGCATGCATACATACATATATACATACACACATACATACACGCATACACACATACATCCATACATACATACACACATACATACATACATACACACATACACACATACGCATATCCATACATCAATACACACATACATGCATGCATACATGCACGCGCATGTCTATTTGTTTACACATGCACACGTACACATATACATAGTTGTACATATGTATATCATGGGATCTAGTGTCCCATAATTCTATATATATAACTATGTATCTATATATTGCTCCAGGTCTGCCTCTCCCTCACGATGCTCATGGGATCAGGCCCCCCCAGCTGGATGGGTACGCCCGTGAGCCTCGCGAAGAGTTGTTTCCTCCCTTCTCCGAAGGCCAAAACAGCAGGTTCCAAGAGCTTTGCTGGACATCTTCTGGCAATTTTGGTGTGTACGAAGGAGTCCCAGAATACAGCCAGACACAGTGTATCTTGCATTCAAGAGGTACGCGTGGTGTTTTCTCTACGGCGGAAACAGGGATGTCGTTCGTGACAGCGTCGGCCTGCCCCGTGTGGTTGGTTGTGGCATGTCCTGAAGAGGATGGCCAACCACACGCCGAAACGCTGAGGGCGAATTGGACCAGGGGTGCCCGAATAGTTGGGCAGACTCAGTCCGAGACCAAAGGAGGACCCCAAGGCAACCGCTTCGGCATCCACCGGCCAAGCCGGCCAAGGATCCCAAAACAACCGGCCAAGCCGGCTGGGTGCGCAGGCGGGTGTACAGATAATGCTTTGTACGTTGCACTTGTTGTTATATGACAGGCAAATTACGGGTTATCAGCCGAAGCTCTCCAGGAGCTCGTTTTCGGCGGCGCAGCCTTTTTCCGCATCAGTCAGAGAGATTCCGGCATGCCTGCGCGTGTTGCAGAGAGATTCCGGCATGCCTGCTGTGAAGTCGGCTCCGCCGTCCTGTGCTCCAGTCAGTGCTCTGGTCACGGGGGCGGGGGGTCTGACATTCAAGGAAAAACGGGGCACCTGCGGCCAGTCCGCCAAGTGCCGACGGTGTCACGAAACAGGGGGCAGTTGTTTCCTCCCTTCTCCGAAGGCCAAAACAGCAGGTTCCAAGAGCTTTGTTGGACATCTTCTGGCAATTTTGGTGTGTACGAAGGAGTCCCAGAATACAGCCAGACACAGTGTATCTTGCATTCAAGAGGTACGCGTGGTGTTTTCTCTACGGCGGAAACAGGGATGTCGTTCGTGACAGCGTCGGCCTGCCCCGTGTGGTTGGTTGTGGCATGTCCTGAAGAGGATGGCCAACCACACGCCGAAACGCTGAGGGCGAACTGGACCAGGGGTGCCCGAATAGTTGGGCATACTCAGTCCGAGACCAAGGGAGGACCCCAAGGCAACCGCCTCGGCATCCACCGGCCAAGCCGGCCAAGGATCCCAAAGCAACCGGCCAAGCCGGCTGGGTGCGGAGGCGGGTGTACAGAGAATGCTTTGTACGTTGCATTTGTTGTGATATGACAGGCAAATGACCCGAAGGCCTCGCGAATGGGATCGCTGCCCCGCCTTTGGTCGTGGGCCTGTGGGCGTGGTTTCCGATACCCAGGCCGCAGTGTCTTGCGAAAGGGATCGTCCCCCCCCCGAGGTCGTAGCCCTGTGGGCGTGTCGTGGTTTTGTGTGCCGGTGCCCCCCCCTTCCCTTGTGGGTGTGGGATGGTTCGTCGTCGTCGTCGTCGTCGTCTTCCGTCAGCGTCTGCGTCGGCGTCGTCGTTATTGGTCGGCGTCGGCGTCGTCGTCGTTGTCGTAGTCGTGGTCGTCGTCGTCGTCGTCGTTGTCGTCTTTTGTCGGCGTCGTTGTCGGCGTTTGCGTCGCCGTCGTCGTCGTCGTCGTCGTCCTCGTCGTCCCCCCGTCCCATCTGGGGGCGGGGGGCTGTGGACCCCTGGGGCCCATCCCATCTTGGGGGGGGGGCCCTGTGAACCCTCGACCCGGCATCATACATACACACTTGTTGGATCCCACCATCTCAAACTAGGAGTGTACGTCCTCTGGTCTACGACTTCTATACGTGGATCGTCGCGCCGTCCACCAGCGATCAGTAGTTTCAATCTTGCATGTTTATAAGCAGCATGCTGCGTATGGACACTTGCACGCCGAGCGTGGGCTTGGACAGGTTTGGCGTATGTCGGAGTCTGGAGTCCATAGGGTCTGCAGGGCTCTGGGACTCTGGCCGTCGTGGACAAGCTGCTAACCTTACGCAGCAGGTTCGACGGCCTCCACGCTGCCCCGATGGTCAAATCACGTCGATGTCCACGTGGTCACGTGTATTGTTTCGAGGCAAGCGAGTCACGTGGTCACGTGTATTGTTCGATGTCCACGTGGTCGCGTGTCACGTCGATGCCCCTGAGTGAATTTGTTTTGGCGTGGTCACGTGTATTGTTTCGAAGACGCGGAGGGTGTCGGGTAATCAGTGAAAGGTGGGGTTCACAGCGGGCAGACGCCCCGCTGAACTCCGTCTCCAGGCCCTGAAATTCGTGGGAGCAAGATGCTATGATGTTCGAGCTCACCCTCTCTGTTCAGTCTTCTCTTTTGTACCTCTCGCAGCCACGGCCGGACCCCCGCGGCGGCGCAAGAGGCTGGTGATGATGCTGATGATGATGCTGATGATGATGATGCTGATGATAATGATTTATGATGATAGTGGTGGTGGTGGTGGTGACAATGCTGATGGCGATGATGATGATGATGATGATGATGATGATGATGATGATGATGATGATGATCATCATGATGATCATGATGATGGTGATCATGATAATGGTGATGGTGGTGATGATGCTGATGGCGATGATGGTAATGGTGGTGGTGATCGTGATTGTTATGACGCTGATGATGATGATGCTTGTGATGATGCTGATGCGGATGAGGATGAGGATGACGACGATATTGACGAGAATGACGATGGTGATGGCGATGGCAATGACGATCCTGCTGCTGATGATGATGATGATGATGATGACGATGACGATGATAAGGATGATGGCGACGTTGATAAGGATGATGATGCTGATGAGCATGGTGGTGATGATGCTAATGCGAATGATCTTGAGGATGATGGTAATTCTGATGATGATGACGATGCTGACGACGACGATGATGCTGATACTGATGGTGATGATGCTGATGATGATGATGAGGTTGATGGTGCTGGTGATGATGATGATGATGATGATGATGATGACGATGATGATGATGATGATGATGATGGTGACGATGATGTTGATGATGATAATGATGATGATGCTGATGCTGATGCTGATGATGATGATGATGATGATGATGATGATGATGATGATGATGCGGATGAGGATGAGGATGAGGATGAGGATGATGATGATGGTGGTGGTGGTGGTGATGATGATTATGCTGATGATGACGGTGATGCTGCTGCTGCTGTTGATGATGCTGATGATGACGATGCTGATGATGACGGTGATGGTTGTGGTGATGGTGACGGTGATGAGGAGGAGGATGAGGAACAACATCAGCAAAGAGGAGCCTCATTCGCATTTGTCATGCCACTGCGGCTTCCATGCCAGGCGCCTACAGGTGGCACCGGAAATGGCTGACCATCACCTTGATTGTTTGCGTCTCCGTCCTGTTCATGTACGCGAGCACAACAAGCAGGCGACCAATGGGTCTTCTCCATCCTCCTTCCAGCCCCCTCCTGCTCCCCCTCCACCTCTCCCTCGATCTCCCCATCAGACTCCTCCTAATAGGGGATTGGGCTTTTCAGGGAGTGTTTAGAGCTCCTCTGGGGAATCCGGGGCGGAGATGGAGGAGGAGGAGGAGGAGGAGGAGGAGGAGGAGGAGGAGGAGGAGGAGGAGGAGGAAGAGGAGGAGGAGGAGGAGGAGGAGGAGGAGAAGGAGAGCCTGGCATTGAATGTTTTCTTGGGCGCCTGGCAGGACGGTTGTAGCTGGCAGCAGGCGACGGGGAGCATGTCTCTCAAGGCGGACCCTGGCCTGTCTGCCCCCGCCCCCCCCTGGCCCCCTCTCCCTGCCTACCCCTCTCCGAGCGCCCAGGATTCCAGGCAGTCCGGGGACGGCACGGTATGCCGCCGAATGCGAGAGCCGCGTGAGGCGCCCCTGAGATCTTGGCGTCTCGATTTTTTCGAGCCGGGCGTTTTCGCTCAGTTTCGGGCTCCGGGGCCTTCAGAGATCGATCCGGCTTGAAACATGACGCAGAAAGAGGGGGTCCGGGTCCCAGTCAGGATTTTTATTTTCTCTTTGCGATGTTGCAACTTTTTTGGCAACGCCAGATCTCAGGGACGGTGCAGGACTGCGGGGGTGGGACTCCTTCCCTCGGCCTTGAAGGCCTTCAGCTTTCAGGCGTCCCTTCTTCAGGCCTTCAGCCCGCCCCCCCACGGTCGGGAACTTCGGCTCTGCGTGTCGCGCCGCCCGTTTCTAGCCCACCACGCTTCGGCGCGACAGGGCGTCCACTTCCCCGGTCCCCCAGCGTCAACGTCCCGAGCTTTTCCAGGCCTCCTGCCCCGCGGAGCGGAGCGACACGCCATCCGCTCGCAGGGCATCGCGTGTCGCCAGGGCCGCCGCCGCGACACGCCAAGCAGCAGCCGCTGCCCGGCCGGAGCCATGCCGCTCGGCCTCGAGCCGTGCCCCCGCCTCGGGAGCAAGGCGACCTCCTGGTCCCCCCCCCGTGCCGACCGCCATCCCAGAGCGAGGCCACAGCTCATCGAGGGTAGCAGAACCCCCTGGCCCTGCTACCACGGTGACGCGGCCTCGCTGGGGTCCCCGTCTTTGCATCGGGGATCCTCGATCTGGGCGGTTTCTGGTGCGACACGCGTGCGGAACAAACAGCCTTGCCCCTGCTGCTGAGTCAGGTCCCCTCCCAAAGGGTTGGTGGTCGTTTTTTGGTTAATCGATAGCCATGCCGTCTTCCATAGCGAGGCCAAAGGAGGAGGAGGAGGAGGAGGAGGAGGAGGAGGAGGAGGAGGAGGAGGAGGAGGAGGAGGGGAGGAGGAGTGATGAGGAGGGGGAGGGGGATGGGGAGGAGGAATGCTATGCTATGGGAATGCTATGAGAGCGGACCACTGTCCTGCTATTCAAACCAATTTACCCGCCTGTGGGGTTAGTCTGAACTGTCTGAATCCCCTCCTCCCACCGCCCCCAAAAAATTGGGCGGCTCCCGTCGAAGAGCCTCAGCACCTCTCCGAGCTTCACGTCTGGCCCGCGCGGTGGACCTTGCCTCCGCAGGGACGGGCGGTGGGGGAGGGGCGGAGGAGGAGGAGCCCCCTGGCGCAGCACCTTCGGTAGACGACCGACCGACGTGAGACGACACCACCCTCTCACGATCACGCGCCGCCATTGCTTCCACAACGGCTTGTGGGGGCCCCTCTCTCCTAGGGTATGTACCCTTCCGAATTCGCGCCAAATTCTCTGACCCCTTAGGGGTCATCCCCTCGCAACGCTTCTTGATGTGTCTATCATCTACTGTCGCGAAGCGACCACACTTGCTGCAGGCATGCATAAACCACTTGTCCACACAAAACATCGCGTGGGTATCATGAAACTCAAGGGCCCCCGCCACGAACCTACGGGGAGCCTGCTGCACCTCAGGGGGCCGACTTCCCTCAGGGAGGGCCCTGCCTGCACAAGGAGTGGCCGCAAACTTAAGCAGCCTCGAGCCTGGCACCACCTGATCACACACGGTGCACCTCCAGCCCGTGCCCGCCTTCTCGATGCGGTGGGCCGAGGGATGAGGAGGAGGAGGAGGAGGAGGAGGATCGAGGAGGTTGGGGAGGAGGAGGATCGAGGAGGATCGAGGAGGATAGAGGAGGATCGATGTTCCCGAGCGATCGGCCCGAGTATAGCGAGCCCCCTGCGCCGCGGCTCGGGCCGCAGAGCCTGGGCCCCGCTGCTGCCGCTCGCCGGGCGGTGCCCCTCCCGAGCGGTGCCGAGCTGTGCTCTCGGGCCGCGGGCGAGAGGGGGGGGCGCTGCTCCTCTCGCCCTCCTCCTTCTCCTGCTCCTCCTCCTCCTGCTCCTCCTGCTCCTCCTGCTCCTCCTGCTCCTGCTCCTCCTCCTCCTCCTGCTCCTCCTCCTCCTCCTGCTCCTCCTCCTGCTCCTGCTCCTCCTCCTCCTCCTCCTCCTCCTCCTCCTCCTCCTCCTGCTCCTCGTCCTGCTCCTCACTCCTCCTCCTCTCTCCTCCTGCTCCTGCTCCTGCTCCCGCTCCTGCTCCTGCTCCTGCTCCTCCTCCTCCTGCTCCTCTCGGCCTCGGGAGAGGGAGGCAGGCGCACTAGGCTAGCAGCAGGTTTGGTACACGAGGCGGGCATCAGGTCGATGAGCAGGGTGAGGCCACCTTGGCTTTTCTGTGTACGGGCGCAGCCCGTCATTGGCTTTTCGTGCGCGGACTGACTCACTGAACTGACCTGACCGAATCACCCGAGCCAGTGGATGGCAGTTGTATCTCCGAAGGCTGGGGATATCTCGCTGACAGTTTGGGGCCAGGGGTGTGAGGGTAATTTCTTCGCTGGCAATTTGGGGCCAGTGGCTAGAGGAACTTCCGCTGGCAGTTTTAGGCCAGAGGCTTTCGGATATTTCGCTGGCAGTTCTAGGCTGGGGGGTCAGAATATTTCGCTGGCAGTTGTATCCCTTGTGGCTGAGGGTATTTCGATGGCAGTTTTACGCCAGGGGTGTGAGGATATTTCGCTGGCAGTTGTAGGCCAGGGGGCTGAGGATATTTCGCTTGCAGTTTTACGCCAGGGAGTTTGAGGACTCGCTGGCAATTGGCAATTATACGCCAGGGGGGGTGGAGTAATTACTGTATGCATGCAGTTTTAGGTCAGGGGCGTGAGGATATCTCGACGGCAGTTCTATCTCCGGTGGGTGAGGACGTTTTGCTGGCAGTTTTAGGCCAGGAGGTGAGGATGTTTCGCTGGCAGCTTTATCTCTTGTGGCTGAGGAAATGTCGCTGGCCGTTTTACGACAAGGGGGGTGGGGATATTTCGTTGGCAGTCATAGGCCAGGTGGCTGAGGATATTTCGCTTGCAGTTTTACGCCAGGAGGGTTGAGGGTATTTCGCTGGCAGTTATACGCCAGGGTGGTTCAGAAATTTCGCTGGTAGTTCTATGTCAGGGGGAGTGAGGAATGTGTCTCTGGCAGCTTTGTGCGAGGGGGGTGAGGATGTGTCGAAGGAACTGTTAGGCAGGGGGGCTGATGAAATTTCGTTGGCAGTGTTATGCCAGGGCGGTGAGGGTATTTCGCTGGCAGTTCTTTGCCAGGGGAGTCATGATCCTTCGCTATAACGCTGGCATTTGGACGCCAGGGGAGTGAGGACCTTTCGCTGGCAGTTTTAGGCCAGGGGTGTGAGGACGTTTCGCTGGCAGTTTTATGTTTGGTGGTTCGGGATCTTTAGACCATGGGGGTGATAACGTTTCGCTGGCAGTTTTAGACCAGAGGGGTTGAGGATATTTCGCTTGCAGTTTTATCTCCGGTGGGTGAGGAAGTTTCGCTGGCAGTTTTACGCCATGGGGATGAGAATATTTCGCTGGCAGTTTTAGACCAGTGGGGTGAATATCTTCCGATGGCAATTTTAGGCCAAGGGGCAGAGGAAATTTCGCTTGCAGTTGTAGGCCATGGGGGTGAGGATCTTTGGCTGGCAACTTCCCGCCAGGAGGGGTGAGGATATTCCGCTGGCAGATTTAGGCCAGAGGCTGAGGATATTTCGCTGGCAATTTTCCGCCAGGGAGGTCAGGGCATTTCGCTGGCAATGTTAGGCCAGGAGCGTGAGGATCTGTCGACGGAAGTTTTAGGCCAGGGGGCTGAAGATCTTGTGTTGGCAGTTTTACGCCAGCGGGTTGAGGATATTTCGCTGGCAATTATACGCCAGGCGAGTAATGAAATCACGCTGGCAGATTTACGCCAGGGGTGTGACGACATTTCGCTGGCAGTCTTAGGCCAGGGGGTGAGGATTGTTCGCTGGCAGTTTCATGCCAGGGGGTGAGGATATTTCGCTTGCAGATTTAGGCCAGGGGGGTGAGGATCTTTCGCGGGCAATTATACGCCAATGGGGGTGAGGTAAGTTTGCAGGCAGTTGTGAGTCAGGGGCTGAGGATATTTCGATGGCAGGTTTACCTCCGGTGGATGATGATATTTCGCTGGCAGGTTTAGGCCAGGGGGGGGAGGAACTTCCGCTGGCAGTTTTAGGCCAGGGAGGTGAGGATATTTCGATGGCAGTTGTAGGCAAGGGGGGGAATGAACATTTCGCTGGCAGTTTTAGGCCAGGGGGGTTCAGGATATTTCGCTTGTAGTTTTACGCCAGGGGGCTGAGGATATTCTGCTGGCAGTTTTAGGCTAGGGACTTGAAGATATTTTGCTGGTAGTTTTATCTCTTGTGGCGGAGGATACTTCGCTGGTAGTTTTACACCAGGGGGCTGAGGAAATTTCGCTGGCATTTTTACCTTTGATGGGTGAGTATCTATAGGCCATGGGGGTAAAGAAATTTCGCTGGCAGTTTTAGACCAGGGGGGGAGGATGTTTCGCTGGCAATTTTTAGGAAGTGCGGGAGGCAGGGCGAGGCAGGAGGACGATGATGACGGATGACTGGAAAGGGTGGAGGTGGTAGATGGTCGGAGGAGGCGGAGGAAGGATGAGGGAGGAGGGGTGTGGCCTTG